TGACCGTAATTGATAAGTGTTATCAGGGTGATATTTATTTAGAATATTTCAATTGAGAGATACCAACAGAGACGATTACTAGGAAATTTCGGAACACACGGTTAACTTGAGATACTGACTGTTACAGGAAGCAATTGCAAAGAAGTAGTCTATCTAAGTCACGTGATCGTAACATAGTGTGCTGAAGACATGGCGGACAAAGAGGAGACTGAGAGAACCATCGCCGAAGACATCGTTGTCACCAAGTATAAAATGGCCGGTGACATCGTAAATCGTAAGAAAACGACTTAACGTTCACTAATGAAGCCGAACGAATAAAAGTGAAATTGCCTGGTTCATGCACGGGCTCCTTAATGTCTTATTTTCCGCCTGGCCATATGGAATGTGGCGCGCTAATGCCGGGCTCTCTTACCATGTGGGATAGTTGGCACCGACTATTACGTTTTGATAACTTATTGATACTTTCAATATTCTACACTTCTCTAACGATTGATCGACAGCAAATTGCTTACTTTTCATTACGTAGCTCGAAAAATTGTCCGTTTCATTTCATTATCGCGACGTAACAATTTTACTATGCAGGAACCATAATCCGCTTGCATCTTTGTATGTGTTTCCATTTCCGCAAAAAGACCATCTAGACGGATGTTCAATGAAAACTTGCGCTGTATGGCTTGCATCGTATTATGATTGGAATTTATTATCATTTGAATAACATATTTAGTTGCAATATTATTTTATATCATATATAATGAATAAAAGAAGAACCGTATTCAAAATATCCACGAAATTATCTGAGACGTGTTTGTTTCAAATTTTGCATATAAATGGGTCATCGATTCCAAATGTTAGATTTTTTGTTAATTTTGAGAAACAAAAGTTTTAAAGAAACATTGATTATAACTTTTGATTCCAAAAAGTATATTCAAATGTTCTTTGCGTTAAAAAAATCACAAATAATAAAAATTTAATGCGTTTTACATTTTTTAAATGTCATTTTCATTCGATCTTTTTATTTTTCGTGGGACCTAAAAAATATCGAATATTGCGAAATTCCCTGAATAAATTTAGCCCAATTTTGTACTGTTTGAGAGATAATTATAATTTTTAAGCATTTTTTAAATTTGTGAAGGATAAGAGAATTAGATGAAAATTATGTATAAAAAAATAAAAGACGTAGAAATATACATTAGTAAAGACATAAATTTTTTGTGGCTACGCAATAGGAGGAATATGATATATTATCGTGATGTGATTTGAAAAATATATAGCTTTAATTTCTTTCTCCTTTTGTCCCTAAAAATTGATAGAAAAATAAATGTTTTAAATCAATAACTTATCTATGCATCTATTGTTATGCAAAATTTGAAGCAAATCTGTATATGGATATATATGTGTCTAGTACTTACGTAATTTCGTACATATTTTATAAATCTTACCTAGTGTTAAAAGTATTCCTTAGTACCTATAAATGATAAATGATTTCTTTCAATTTCAGGGGTATTAAAGCAAGTTTTAGATAAGTGCGTTGCTGGAGCATCGGTAAGAGAAATTTGTGAGATTGGAGATGAACTGATATTGGATGAGACCAGTAAGGTCTTTAAAAAGGAAAAAGAGCTGAAGAAGGGAATTGCTTTTCCTACATGCATATCGGTGAATAATTGCATATGTCATTTTTCACCAATCGCAAGTGAACCAGATCTCATACTCAAAGATGAGGATATGGTAAAAGTGTAAGTGTATGATCCATGAATATAATACATTCAATATTATAAAATATAACTTCTGTTCTCATTTTCTAAAGTAATTATTATCTTCTATTTGTAGAGATCTTGGAGCACATGTTGATGGCTTCATAGCAGTTGTGGCACACACTATTGTTATAGGTTCTTCATCACAAAAAAAAGTTACTGGTAGAAAAGCAGATGTAGTGTTAGCTGCACATTATGCATCACAAGCTGCATTGAGGCTTTTACAGCCAGGTACAGAGGTAAGTTATTTATATATTTTACACCTCTGTATCTATAAATTGATTAAATTACGCGTCGTTTATGTAGCTTCTTTTTGTTTACAGACATACACGATAACAGAGACAGTAGAAAAAATTTGCGACGTATACAAGTGTAAACCAATTGAAGGAATGTTAAGTCACCAATTGAAACAGTTTAAGATAGATGGAGAAAAAACTATTATTCAAAATCCAAATGATGCACAGAAAAAGGAACATGAAAAATACACTCTTGAAGCTTATGAGGTATAGTTCATTCTACATATGTATATAATATGATATGTAATTAATTAGAATAGAGAAAATGCAATATATGTGGATTTTTTAAATTATAGGTATATGCAATGGATGTGTTGGTTAGTACTGGTGAAGGAGTAGGCCGAGAACAGGACACCCGGGTTACTATATTTAAAAAAACAGAGGAAACATATCAACTGAAATTGAAAGCGTCTCGCATGTTTTACTCTGAAGTCACTCATAAACACGGTCTTATGCCGTTCAATTTACGTACTTTCGAGGATGAGAAGAAGGCAAAAATGGCAGTTGTAGAATGTGTAAATCATAGGTTGATTGAACCATTCCAAGTAAGCCTGTTACTTATGTATAACTCTTTGTTTTTATATTTCATTAAAGAGTTTTATGTCATTACATCTTTATTACTATTCTAGGTACTATATGAAAAACCAAATGAATTTGCTGCACAATTCAAATTCACAGTACTAGTAATGCACAATCGGCAACACAAGATTACAGGAATTCCTTTAGACCTTGACATTTATCAATCGGAATATGCTGTTAAAGATCCTGAATTGAAGGTGTGAATTATGTATTATTTGTTTTCAATTCTTTTTCTTTTAGTGGGTTCTGTTATTAATTAATTAATTTTGTTTATAGACCCTTTTGTACACCTCGGTAAACCCGAGGACTGCAAAGAGAATGAGGAAGAAGGCAGAGAAAGCTGCAGGTGAAGTGGCGATGGAAGTTGATGCCAAGGCCTAACACAACCGTTTTAGCGTTCTTCATGACGTATTAACATCGTGCACTTTGTGTTATCTTTTGTTAAGCAGCTTCAGAGCAGAAATTAGACACTTTTTAACGTCACTATACCTGAAATATTTGTCTTTTTGTTGAGACGACATTGATAAATCGTGATTCTTCATATCGTTATACCTTTCCCATTTTTATATTGCTGTTTGTTTAATTAAATAACTGTATCTATTTAAATCCAAGAATTTCCATGATAAAAAAGTGTCGTATTCTGCCCTGGACAAATCGGACTTCACGACACTTATTATGCCACACTTACGTTTTTATACCGGACTATTTTTTCATGGACCATGGTATTATTATACATAAAAAAATGATTATTCATAAGACATTTTGCAGCTGATGTATTACATTTCGAACATGTGAAATTTATTTTTCAAATAATGGTCGAAATATGTCTGCATTGTGCGACTTAATTCGACCGAGCCAGAAAGTGAACCGCATGTGCATTCATATGTTTCTTTCATAAAAGAAACGAATAAAATGCGAATTTGATTTTATAAATGTTTTTGGGTTATCGAAGAAAACTATCTCATGCTGATTAATGTCTCTTTCATTACGTAAACGAAAAGATACTTGAAAAGAATCACAGTTAATACGTTCTGCAGTTTCTGAATGCACTGCCCAGCATGACACAACTTACTTTGACACTAATGCTAGTTTTGCACTAGCTGATTTTGTGCATCTCGTGTCTAGCGAATTAATAATTCATACTATAAAAAGAAAACACCTAATTTCGAATTGTACAATTGAAATGAGAATGTCCATATTGGAATTCCGTATAAACGATGAAATGCCAATGAACCTCGAAGTGTTTCGTTGTAAGAATTCCCCAACCGTCAAAAAATATTTTATTCTTATTGAGTTTGACTTGATACAAATTTTACTGACAATGAATATTTGAAGTAAATATTACTCAAATGATTATAGGAGCATTTTGTGTTATTCATATTGAAATGGAAAAAGAAGGACGTCTTTCTAAGAACAAAGGATTCTTGGCGAGTGACTAATCGTCTTATCGGGGTAAAAAAGCGAAAATTATGAAATATTGATACAATGTAATAATAGTTTTGTATAAGGAAGATAGATAATGTATTTGTTCTAGATATTTTTTCTACTCAAATTGTGCATATGTCGAATGTTACCGAGCGTGCTTGTAAAACAAAAGATGTTTTGGGTTATCGTGCACTGTCCTTCATTTGCTCTAATCGGAGCATATAATGTCATCCATTCGATATGGTATTATACTTCCAATAAAAGTATTTACTAGATACGGAAAGATTGGATCCGTAGTATTTTTCGTTCGTTACGAATAAGTCATCAATAAATGCTTATAATGCAAAAAAGGACTGTGCACAAAATTCATACTTAACATAAAATTTAATACGATGAAACGAGAGAAATTGTTATTAAAAAGATATTAACGACAAGCTAACAAGTATAGATTTTGACACGTGCATATTTCGCGAGTCATTAAACTGCTCCTTTTTTTCTCTTTCAAAATAGTCCTACTAATGTATTGATCTGTAAGATACTGTCTATTTCTGAAGAGCCACACGAAATTTATCAACAAAAAAGTTAACGACCGAAAAAGATAGAATTTTACGGATTATATAACTTACTAATTTTTCTATGATATATAATCTCTGATGAAAGTGAAAAACGAAACATCAGAAATATAGAATCATATTTGCAACTGTGTCTTTATTGTTAATATAACAGGTATGTCATATGAACTAATATAGTTTTAATACTTGCTTCTGTTATATATAAGTATAGTCACAAGGACTGGTACCATATAAAAAAAAAAAAAAAAAAAAGAAATAGCAATACCATACCAGTTTATCACATAAAATTAGGATGAATCAATATATTAAAAATAATGTTTAAAGTAAATGTTATCGTGTGATATCTATTTATAGATTCGGTAAAAAATGATACTACATTGAACATATTTTCGTTTTTATTTCGGTAAGAATAATGTTGATGAACTATACGTGTCGACATTATTTTTTAAACTGACACAAAAGCAATACAAGTACTGTAAATATATATAATGGTTTGTAGTGATAAATTTATGAACAAAATGAAGGATTTTTCACATATCTGAATTACAATATACAAATTTTAATTTTAATACAATTGCATTAGGAGTGGTAATGTCAGCGACATTTATCTCACTGCCGTGTCTAAGCCCGAGTTCGATCAGCGTTTTTGTTAGATTCTCACGAGTTCTCTCCTCAATACTCGTTACAGTTTGCATATACAACGTTTTATTTTTCCCGTCAATGTACGCCGTGAGACCTGGATTTTTCATTTGCAAGTCTGGCCTTTCACACAAGTTCTCTATCAAGTCTTTCAATTTGAATTTAGGATTACTAATTTCGATTTCTTTTGGAATTTGACTACACGCCACGCAATCTTCTTTCTTTTCTGCTTCATAAGTGTAAGTATAAATTCCATCTACATCATTCAGTACCTTTAGAAAAAGGAATTATTTGCTTATTATGTTGCATCCTTAGATTTCTAATTAAAATCGAGATAACAAAAATACCATATAGTTATTTAGCGAAGCACTACAACTGCTAGCTAGTTTAAATGCCTCGGTAGCACATGTTGCAGCAATGACAGCATTTGTAGATGCCACAGCAGGTATAATATTTTTAACTACACCTTGCACTAATCTGTATGTCAATCCTTGTATTCCAAATTGAGCTGCTCTTTCATTAGATTTTTCATAAATCCAATTTATGTGCTGAGGATCATCTCCATCTATCGCACAATCAAATGGATTTTCTTTTGGCCATTGAATTACTTTCACATACTCTATACAATGTTCTGGTAGGCGTGGAGTATTTGCTATTGTACACAATGGGTATGTCACCTATATTTCAACATAATAGTAGTTGACAGAAGAGTTATATTTATTTGTTCAATGTAAAAAAATATTTTCAGTATACATACCTGAGGAGGATATAAATCCAAAGTACATTCAACGCAAGCAGACAGACCAGGTAGTATTACTCTTGCATTTCCTTTAAAACCTTCCGTTCCTCCATCAATCATGGGTATTACAGTGGACCGATCAAGTTCACCATTTTCGTAAACTAATAAAGACAACAGCATTCCATTGATCCATCTTCTTGCAACGATCGAGTCTAGACCACAAATGACTATGTGAAATTGTCTATAAAATTCTTCATCTTTATCCTGTATTTTGCAACAATGTGGTATAACATTGCACCCTGGTATTCTACTATTGACAAAATTTGCAGCTACTTCCGCTTTTGACGAGCCGATATCCTTATGGCGGAAGAGAAATTGCCTGCAATTTTTTTTATTAATTTCTCTATTCTTCTTTAATAAACATTTTGATAAATTCTTTTGACAAATCATCGTATATTTCCGTACCGATTGAGGTTAGATAATTCAATCGTGTCCATATCGATTACATGAATTTGTCTAAAACCCATCAATCCTAAATCTTTAAGTAATTCGCATCCTAAACCACCGGCGCCAATGACGAGAATCTTGCAATTGTCTAATAAAAATTGCAATGTTTCTGGCGATGGTTCAAAATCCGGTCTACAAAAAGGACCTGTTCTTTCTAATACTTTACGTAAATTACTCCATCGTCTATGCGTGTGATCGGAACTCATCGTTGAAATATCGTTAAAACGCATTAAAAATCACTTCTTAAATGATACTAAGATATAAATGTTTTAATCAAACATTTTTATATACTTTGTAATCTAATAAAAAAATTCAAACATTCGTAGTGCTCGAAGCATCCAGCATTTGCGGCAACAACTCAGTGCGTGTCAGATGAATTGACGGAGTAAACACGATTGATCACGTGAAATTTTAGCTATTACCATTGGCTGTTAGGTCGCTAGTGAAAAAAAGCGTTTAAACCAAGTTACTAAACCTAATACCAAATAATATCCTTGGTTAAGGGGTAGTAGTGAACAATCTGATTAGTATTTCTGACTTTCTTCGAACTTTGATATGTTAAAACGTGCTATTTAAATAAACAAAATATCGCAAAAAAAAGATTCGCAACAAATTTCAAGTGTTGTTAATTTTGCTCTGAAACTAAACCTGAACTTAACTTCGATCTAGCAAAACCCGCCAAAAATTTCATTTTAATTTCGCGATTCGGTCGTTAATGTTAAACCGTCAAGGTTGTCGATGAAAAGCATCTTCTTTGGTTTCGATGATCTGAAATATGTATAAAGCTCAACAGTTTGAACAATTTTTTCCTATACATATAACCGGCGGTCAGTTCTAATTTTCGAATTATATACAAAAATATCCCAGCCGCTCGGCCATAACTTTCAAGCTGGGCTAGATTAGTTAGAAATAAGATTGCTCACGCTTATGGGCCTGATTGTCCCCGGACTAGTGCTGCACCATGCGGTCAAGCGTTGAGATCAACTAAAGTTAGTATATACAAGAACCTATAAAATTAGGGATCTGCCTTGTTTGGTTGCACACTAGCACAGACAAGAACCTATCGAGTTCCACGTTTCAAGAACCTACTTAATTGTACGGTTCTACGGGAAAGTTCATATTTACTTTTCTATCTGAGCTTTTTTGTGTATTCTTTGTACAATCGTAAATTATTATTTTACTGTGTCAGAAAATACTAAAAGCGAATTCAAGGCAATCACGTTTACAGCATATTCTGTGGATTCGGAAATGCCGAACTCGCGTAGTTTTACTTCGACGTTCGTTCACTTTGACGATTGTAGTTACAAATGTAATAAATACGGTTAAGCGTGTTAATTACAAATGGTAACACCCCAATAGTTTCGATAGAAATAATAGTAAATGTTATTATTTTGCATAAATCTTATTTGAAAAGATAATGGTAAACATTATTTTTCATACATTATTGATACATTAGAGTTTTACATTAAATCCTAAATTTTGTAAATCTTTCGCCATTGATGCTACAGTTTGAACAGACAAAGGTTTCAGAGGCGCACGTGGAGGTCCAGGATTGATGCCCGTTAACAGAGTCATTGCTGTTTTCATAGTTTCTACCCAGGTTCCTGTAACATAATTACAACATTAACGATTAAAAGAAGAGAGTATGGTGCTAAATATAGATTGTTTGTAAAATTATTATTTGTATTTCTAAATTTTTATGCTTCTTTTCAACTGGAGTTATATATTTTGCAATAAATAAGATTTATTCCTCTGTAAAGTAATATGTAATAAATTTAAGGGAAATTATTCGATGATTTGAATGGAATCGAACGGAATGGGATTCCTGAAATTCAGTATTGCCATCTCGTTTCGATCGAAATAGGTTTTGCATAATTTTTTCATAAAATAGGGAATAAGATACAAGAATAGCTTATAATGAGACTACAAGAAAAAGTAAAATAAAACCAAATCAAAGTGTATTAATTTAAAAGAAAATTCCAAAGAAAGCTTCAAACTTGTAGAGTGTTAAAAAATAGATTTTTTAAAAAGGCGTCGCTCGAATCGTGTTAGCTGAAATTAAATCGGCTACAAAGAGAAGTGGATCGTTATTTTTATCGAACCTTGTTAAATCAAGTTTGTGACAAAATGGAATTGGATGAATAATGATTTTTACCATATGTATACGATACATAATTGAATTTATGCTTTTGGTAATATTTTTAGACGAAAGAAACGTTTAATTATAATTTTACCATATTTCGATACATTCATCACAGCGTTTGTCAAACGTTGTTGCGTTTCTCTTCCTTTCATGACGTTTCCTGCAAGACCGGCTGCAAGAGTTTCGAGTACAATTTCGGAGAACATATTCGAACCTGTTGTTATAAAGGAATTCATTCCTAATGCACAAGCAGCGGTTATCAACTGAAACGAACACAATAATAGTATCGTATGAGTTTCTTACTATATATTTTTATATCGATTTTTGAAATTTTAACTCTTAAAGCAATCGCTCGCATCTAATTTGTAAAATTCGACAAGCGAAACGCGTTAAGATTCTTAGAATCTATTAGAACGAGCTAATGTGATACGTTTTAGATCAAAGATTTATGTATACCTAAATATCTTAAAGGTACCCACGTGTTTTACATAAAATGTAACTAAAACCAATTTCATAGAAATATGAGTAACATAACGTGCCAGTTTATAAAGTGCTTTTTACATTAACGAGCAATAGTTTATAAGTTTAAGATAACGTTATTTCTATGGTAAAGTATCTATGTAAACAAACGTACACAACATATACGTGAATATAGGGAAAGAATCAATATGTCACTAACATGCGTATACTAATATTTTCGTCTTATTTCGGCCTCACGAATCTGCATATTACCTACGGAGTTGACGTTAAATATGATATTTAAGAAGATAACAAAGAATACCTGATCGTTTCCAAGGAATACGGCGAATTTATCGTTAGTAACATGAAAAGCTTGAGCACCTTCGTCTAAGCTAGAACTTGTGAATTTTATTCCTACGAAAGTTGGTATCTCTTCCTCGCCGACAGATTCAAGAAACTGCGCCATATGCACTGAAAAAACGTCAATACGCTTTTAAGTACATAATATTTCATATCGTAGGAATTTGCTGCCATACGATATTTTTATTAATAATCGAACGAAGAAAATATATAAGCGTGGACAGATATATAAATGACAAAGGATTTTCTGTATTGCCATGATAACTGTATATTAATGGTTTGTCAATAAGAGAGGGAAAGTGATATTTTACAAATCAGTTTCGACGATTTCTCGGAATGTTTAAATGAAAAGGGCGATGAAAATCGAACATCGTAAGGTTGTAAGTTTCCATCTTAACATTTGCATATAATCGTCGTAGATATATTTCTTTGTATAGTCTTTCAACTTAGGGCGCGTAATTGACAGAATTGCTATAACTGTAATTATCAGCTTACCATCGACGTTAGTCAAGCTCGGAATATGATAATATAGAAGCGGTGTATTTGGAGCTGCCGAACCGACTAGCTTCAAATAATCCTTCAATTGCTCAGAAGTGCTTGGGCTGAAGTATAACTCCGGTAGACAGAGAATGGAATCTGCTTTAACGTTTTCAGCGTGTTTTGCCTTGAAATAAATATCGGTAGATGTAGTATCGAATCAGGCGTATCGAACTGTAACTTAGCGAAACGATAAAATGGCACGTACTTATTATTAAAAGATGTTGTCGTTATCGAGTAAGAAAATCAAATTTGAAGGATATTGAATTTTGCATTAAAAGTTCTTCTACGTACGCTTCTTTTTAGCTGTCGACGATACCTATCTCAAATTCGATTTTATCGAAAACACGGCCTTAAACGAATGTTTTAGTTTCTTAATATTTTACGTACAAGTTCAAGAACATCAGGAAGAGATGTACCGCCCACTTGAATCATCAAATGTTGCTTCGTTGTTTTGACGGCATTTGCCCACGCCTCGGCAACTAATTTTCTTTCGCTCGTAGTCATGGATGGGCCTTCCCCGGTCGTTCCATTTACTATCGATTACAAATTTTTCCTTCTATATACAATTCCGTCTTCGAATTAATAAATAATCTCTTACGTCGATAAATCGAATTGACTGCGGAATCTCGTTGACTACGGAACGTATTAAAGAACGTATCACAGAAGAAAAAATAAGGATCACGATGTTATTTGCGAATGAGAATGTTTATTACCATTTTTTTGATACTATCAAACGATCGAACGGTGAGCGCAATATACATATAAGCAGAGATATAGAAAAAAGTGAAAATAATATACAGAAATTTGACTTTCGATCATGCTAAATTTGGACATCGATGATAATCGACGAATAAAATGTTTTAATCGTACAAACAGGTACAGTCCTTACGTACCAAGAACACCGGTGACTTTTTTCTTCGCCAAATGGTCGGCATATTGCGGTATAATCGACAAGTTTAAGGTTTTTGCGCTAAAATAAACAAATAGACAGAGTTATAATTTTATTAAAACGTTGTATTTCTAAATTGCCGCATTCCCGGACAATTCCAGCGGAACTCTTTGGATCGTCGTCTTGTAAATAAATTTTATTTCGAGATATTCAGATATTTACGTTTGTTTGAAATTTCGTTAACGAACACGAGAATTCCGGTCCCATTCGTCGTCGTACATCGCCCTACCATAATCGAGCTTTACAGTCGGTAGTAAATTTGTTTTTATTACGGTACATGTATATTTCTCTTTTTCCATATATCGTGTCGTTGATCTAGGGCAAAAAGACCGAATTCACTCTAATCTCGGATGATTTGATCCCAACGATCCCAATATTATCTTCCAAAAGCTAATTTTTTCTTCATGCGTGTTTCCTTCGCCTATATCTTCCTGCTTTTTCCGTAAGAATTCTGGACCACAATTGCGATTCTACAATTCGTCGTACACGTTCTTTCCGAAACTACCGACAATTATATTGGCAAGTTTCGAAGCAAAAGTGCATACGTTCTCACCTACGTGTTCCCTATAATAAACTTTTCTTCTCTCCTCTGGAAGATCGTCTCTTCCTTCGTCCTTATTACAGGATACTATTCCTTTCATTTTTCCATTTCTAAATTATGTAGAGTACAGTCGATCACCTTTCTTCCCATGTTTCGCAATTTCTCGATAAGATCTTTCTTTTTACGTAGTTTCACTATCGATTTTTCTGATTTTTTCGTATTAAATGCAGACACGTTTAAAAAATTCACAAAATTACTATTCGCTGTGAAATACTCGCATCTTACTCCGTGTCTTAGCATCGATTGAAACGAAACGGTCACACGACTGCGGTGCTTACGTCGCGTGTATCTTTACGCGTCCGAATACTTCTATCACTTTGGTAAACATAATTATCTATGTAAGTAACGCTTATGTAACGCTCTCTATTCCATCGTCTGGTCCTATATACGTTGTCCGGATTCTCTTCTAATTTTACTCACATATTGTCCACGCATATACATTTATCCCGTTTATCGCGGTATTGTGTCATAAATTGCACGCGAATTTCGTTATTCGCCGGTGTAACGGTTGCAAGTTATGCATGTACAAGACTACGAGACAACGAAAACATCGCATTCCCTTTTAGGAAATTGCAGGTAATTAGGCAAACTCGGAATTTCATTCTTTGTATAAAATCAGAAATATATCGCATAGGAAATTCGAGCTTCGTAGGTTTTCGTCGAGTTTCAACGAACAAGTTTTCGTTATTTCATTTCATTTACAAGTTCGTATCATTTAGTTTTACCAGTTCATACGATGCGATCTGTATATTTGCTACTATCTTCTGTTTCTTCGTTATACTAATATCGCTAATATCGGATAAATGTCAGGGAAATTACCTGTCGTTATTAAAGGGTGTAAATACTGGGGTGATCAGTCCCTTATAGTTGAACGATACTTTCTGTAATTAAAAGTAAGCAAATCTGTTATCAACGCATAATTTATCGTTGTAATATTTTATAGAAAAAAGGTAGGTCGTCTTCTAGTAGTATTTATAAATACATTTTTTCTTTGTATTTTCTACGTACGATGTATCGTTATATTTACATCGTATTTGATGTATTAGTAATTTTTGATCGAACGAACTAACTTTTATTATGGAGATATACATAGACGTAAGATGTCAAATACGTTTGAGGTAAACGCAAGCGTATTTGAGTGCGGTAGCAATAAATTTCCATGTGAAAATAATAATTTTAATTCGGATATATACGTACGATATAAAAGATACTCTCTAAATCCAAAAGATATATATCTCTTGAAATTTAAATTTACGTCGATCAGTATATGCAATAAGCATATAATCGATAGACAGTTCAGAGGTCGACTATTTTTCCCTTTTCTACCGATATAATCTAACGCGAATAACGACGGCAGATTACGTTTAATTAGTCGAATCATCGTTCGATTATACATTCGAATAACGATAACTGAACTTTTAAACAATTATTTCGTATTTGTTGCTAAATTTTCAGAGTTTCGGTTCAGAGTTTTGGAAATTAGTATTCGAACGTATATTTCCGATTAAAATAATTTAAAATCTGTCGAAAGCAAGAAAGATTTGATTGCGATCGGTTCGAACGTACGAATAGGTAAGCTGCAAAATGAATCTGTACGATAATTGACGCACGATGTACATATGCATACGTACCGGCATTCTGGAACGTGTAGTGAACTCGTGGAGCTTCAATTAGGGTACTGTACATAACGCGACGAAGAGGAATATTTTAACCGCGGCTCTGATAAGATTCTCTCTGCTTGGTATCGAATATCACGTGTTACGTTTTGACTGATATCAACTTTGTCCTACGGTGTTAATAATATACAACGTGTATATATACTTTCTGCACGCTTTATGTACATTTTACTTTAAGGTGATAATAGATGAGCAACAATTTCTGTTTTTCATTATTTTATCGAATTAGGTATGATCCGTTTCGTTCTGTCTCTATTATTATGTTTGTGCATAATTCGATGAACTAATATAAAAGGAACAACATCGCGCGTGTATTATTTCCTTATAAAACGAAAGAAACTTTTCGGACAACCTAAAAGGTGGTTGAATCGATTATAACACCGGATTAACAGGTTACAATTTACGCTTTATTTCGACAACTTATGGCAAGATAGTTAGGCTCGATGCGTATAGATATAAGTTAACTGGATGACCGATCTAAAGTAGATATAGACAGTTACGCTCGGTGCGTATAGATACGAGTTAAACAGACGAACGATCTAAAGATGGAAAATCAGTCGCGAGATGTAGACCGATCTAAGGACGACAACCGGTAAAGACACGTTCACCGATCCGACGATGAGAAACCAGCGAAGTTCGGCGACGATGGCGTCGCAGAGGAAAACTCTTGCCGAGCGTTGGTCGCTCCACCACTGGTCGCTCGCGGGTGAAAACCCGCG